TTGTATTCCTTCCCAGAGTTTTTAAAAATATTCTTTAACCCCTTCAAAGAGAGTCCCAGAGATAGTTTGCTGGTCATCTGTGTTTCAAGGCAAAAATCTTTAAAAGCTTTAACAAGTTTCTTTTGAATATTCAGTAAGTAGAGTTTATCCTTTTGCTTGTCACTTGTAATAAAGTCCTTCAAAACCTTAACAGAGCTCTTTTGTATATCCAGTAAGAAAAAATTATCCAAATTAATTTCCTGGTTTGGTGTCCTTTAGGGAATAAGTCATCCATCAGATCCATCTGTGTTACATTTAAGTCCCTCTTCCAAGTCAATTCATAGGTATCCGTTGCAATTTGTTCTTGTTCTATAACTTCATTACAACACGCTCTGTCCATCTTATCAAGCAATTGATCCATTCTATTAAGTTTAATAGATATTCAAAAGTTTGCAATATAGATTTCTGCTCCATATTTTCTATCCTCTAGCGCCCTCTAATGTCCAACCCTCAAGGTCTCCTTAACACACAAAAAGCCAAAACAGTCTCCTTACCATTAAAAAAAAACACCACCATTTTCACATGAGAAATTATCTTCTAATTAATTCAAAGCTATAATTCCAAATCCCTCTGGCCCCTTAATCCATTGTTAACTTTACAAAATCTATATACTAAGCACCCTTTTCCTGCGTAGTCCGAAAAATCATAGATTTTCAAAACTTTTAAAATCGAATTTACACCATCGTCTTCTAAGGAGGAGGAAACTCACCCGATGAATACACTAAAACCTTAATCTCTCCAGTAAACAAACAAACAAAAAAATTAATAATGCAAAAAAGTGATTAAGAAAGGAGGCTCGGTCGAGCTTAATGCCCATGAAAAGCTGCTTTGCGAGTGTGAGTTTGATGAAATCATGACTTCCAGCCACCCCACTCATAAGCTGACTGCAAAATGGCAGTTTCCGCACTCTGCTCATGGGTAACGGCTGTCTGGAGTCACAGGGATTATCTCAACGATTTCTCCTCCTTCCGGAGAAATTTCGCCAGTCTGGATCCAGCATCCAGCTGCGATTCCCCTCGCAAAGCTGTCCTGCTAACGAGCAGGACATCAGCTCACCATGGTGCTTAAAGGAAGCAAGTCCACGAGAATACAGTTTCAACAGAATAGAGTTATAAAAGAAACCATTATTAGAGGCCTCTGGTATTAGAATCAAGCAGCATGCTGGGTTCCAAAAAATCTGGCCATCTTCAGAAATGGAGGAAGAACAAGGCAGAAGGAAAATACCAACCTTGGAAGGCGGGGGGGATGTTGTCAAGAAGGAGGGTTTGTGCTAGGGGACTGCCTTCCCCAACCGGGTGCCCTCCAATTACATATCCCCTCTCATCTAGAAGGCATCCGGTTGAGAAGGCCATGATGCGAAGAGTCAGATTTAGGTAGCAGTGAGTACCAGACATTGGTTGGCTTGGCCTAAGTATTAAGAAGCAATTCAGGTATATGGTTGACAAATTCCTTGGTACGATGAGGGCGTGATGGGAAGCCAAGGCGCGCATGCGGGGGGAGGCGATGGTGATTCTTCTCTGTGTAACTCTATGAAAGTATAGCACGTGTGTATGGTATGACCCGAGGCATGTAAAAATGGGCCAGGGTGTCAGTCGCACCACATGTGGCCACAGTCTAGACTTTTTGACACCCCCCCCCCTTTGCAGGTGCCACTATTCAAAATGCAGCTTCTCACAACAGTTGTGATGGTTTGACGGTCATATAAATTGCAGGAATATAGTAGCACATTTAAAGCCGGTTCCCCATCTCCCTTCCCACCCCGTATTCACTCAGAGCCCTTAATCTGGTGACGGAAGTGATCCATTTTCTGGATTTGCCCAATAGATGGAACAAACTAATAAAATGGGTTGGGTTTGCAAACATGCTACTCTCCCAAACAGCGAGCTGAAGTTAAAACATTGCCCAAATTTAGCATGTTGTGTGAACATAGCCTTTCTCTCTTTCTCTTTCTCTCTCTTGTCTCACACACAGGCTGTGTTTGCACAACAGGTTTACCCAGACTTAGCAGCTGCATGCGTACAGTAAGCTAAGCTTAGTTTTAACCTTGGCTTTGTGTGTGTGTATGTGTGTGTTGCAGTACAACATAGTGTTTTGTACAAACCCAGCCTGTTTGGTTAGTTTATGATTTAGTGTATTGCATGATTTCAGAAAATAGTTTAATTCGGTAACCAAGTTCAGTGTGCTGTGTGAATGCAACCACTGTGTTTTTTATTGTTTTTCCTCCACCTCCCACCCTTAACCCACCCTGGCTGAATCTGTTGCGTAGCACAGTGAGCTGATCGCCTTCGTTTAATGCCCTGTCTCCTTTTTCCAGAATGGGTTGAACGCTTTACATCTGGCCTCCAAGGAGGGGCATGTGAAGATGGTGGCTGAGCTGTTGCACAAGGAAATTGTGTTGGAAACCACCACCAAGGTAAGGGTTCCAGAGCAGCAGGACTAAAGACATGGTGCTGGAGCTAGAACCTGCGAAGCAACGAGTGTCTGATCTGATTCATTAGAAAGGTTTCGATCCAGTGGATTTGTCCCAGGACAAACTCCCAGAATTCTCAGCGGTCCTACTGGCAGGGGAATCCTGGGAATTAAAATCCATTCATTCGTCACTCTAGGAAGAAGACAGAAGGCCTTAATCTTTGAACGTTCTCAGCATTCTAGAAAATCCTGGAGGTGACCGAGCTGGCCAAGGATCTTGACCAGCAGCTTCTCCCCCAAATGTCCAAGACTCTTTGAAGGACATGATGTCAGTGAAACCAGGATACGATTACTCAGAATTGTAGATATATTCAGGAGCGGAGTTCATGCAACATGCCAGGCTAGGCTGAAAACAGTTGCGAGAATGAGCTTTTCAGTATAGAAGTCCAGTTGCTGTACTGGCTTCGTCAGATTCGTTGTTTCTGTTTTTTGCTTTTAAAAAAGGGTTTCTTTTCTAGGTTGGCTATAACTGTGATCTTCCTCCTGGCTTTTTCAGAAAGGGAATACCGCTTTACACATCGCTGCCTTGGCAGGGCAAGAAGACGTTGTGCGGGAGCTGGTGAACTTTGGGGCAAACGTCAACGCACAATCACAGGTGAGGAGGAGCCATCCCCGACAAGCAGTGGTTGACTGTTCTGAAAGTAGGGTGCCACAGCAGAAAGGGCACTGCGAAGAAAAGAGACCTGCAGTGACCAACCCACATCTACGTTTGCAGAGGGAGAAGGACAATTAAACTAAGCAGTAACTCTGGAGGGCTGTGTTCACAAGATCACCAAACCATGAATTAGCCGCCTCTACTTTATCCTACACCAGGCAAACCCAGATCCCATCGCCATAGTTTAGAGTGGCATGCAAACCCGAGAAATGGGGGTATGGAGTAAACCCTTCTTATGTTAACTACAGTCATGTATGCCGAGGGAATGCAGCTGGAAAGTCCTACGAGTCTGCCCAGTTGGTGTCCCTCCAACTACACTTAGTTTACTAAGGCTTTAATAATGGGGATATTACCAAGAAGGAGTTAACCAGAATCTCAGCATAGCTGGTGAATTCTTTGGGCTGTCTATTGGACGGATTACTCGTATGGTTCACCAAGGGATCAGCTTCTAATACTGAGATGAAAAAAATCGGCTCCCCACTTTCCGATTAGCCAATCAGTCAATAAGATAAAAAGCAATATGAAACATATTAATAAATATGAGCATTTCCACTGCTTGAGGTAGTTAACTACTGGCTTTTTAACCAATTGGTCCAGTTTCTATATTATTCTCCTAGCCCTCAACACGGGCCCTGTTATAAGACAGTTTTAGACATGTGAGTTCATTTCCATATATTTGATCCAAGAATATCCCCTTCATTGTTGGAGGGGAGTTTATCATTCATAATTTCCTTTCCCACTTGCTACTGTAGTACTATATGAGATGAGGATAACCAAAAGGAAAAAAAATGTCCTTATTTAGAAGACGCTTCAGTTATTCTTTTTAACATCTTTTAAAAAATGCACGCTAAGCCTTAAAACCTTCGTTGAGCACAAAGCTGGGTTCCAAACAGGAGGTGGGGAGAGAGCAAAGTGCCAGGACAGTAACGAAATTGGATTTGATTCCACTTAAATTTACATTTAAATTCAATTAACGCTATACTCAATTAATTAAGCCAAAGTGGTATGTCTCAGTGCGTTGAATAATTTTCCTCTTCTGCCACCTGAAAAATCACATGCAGCAACCCCTTTTGAACACTGGGGATGCTCCCAAGGCTTTTAGGGGCCCGCATCCAGCAGAGATAAGCAGTCTGGTCCCCTGCAGAGCTGTGGACTTCAACTCCCATCAGCTTCTACCAGCAGAGCCAAGAGCAAGGAACTTTGGGAGTGGTAGTTCACAAACTTTCTGCAGGGGCCCAGCTTAGCTCTCTCATGCCCTAGTGCAGTGTTTCTCTCTCAATCTTGGCAACTTTAAGATGTGTAGACTTCAACTCCCAGAATTCCCCAGCCAGTGTGAGAAACCTGCTTGAAATCGAGCAATGAAAATTTGGTTGATTGTTCTGTGGACTGAAGGCTTGCACACAGACATAAGCCTCCATAGAATTTAAGTCTGACTAGGTTTACTTTTCCATTTTCCACACACACCCCTTTGTTTTTTGCTTGGAGTCAGCATCATTTGTAGATCCAGAGCCTTCCAGGGCCTCTGTCCAGCATTCTCCTTGCATCCCGCTGGTGCTTTTGAGGAGCCCCAGCTGTTCTCAGCCAACCTTGCCAGCATCGCTTGCTTTCTGCGAGTTAGCCAACCAGCAGAGCTGGGAGAACAGTCAAAAGCTTTCCTGTGCCTCTTAGATGGACGGCGAGAAGATGAGTCTGTCAGGCTGGTGGTGACCAGGATGGAGAACAAGCACAAGCGCCCTCTGCTGGTTCCTGAGCAGCATAGTCTCAGTGTAACCATCTGGGCTTGAGCATTTTTGGGTTACATAAGCTGATATCTGAAGGTCAGATAAATATTGGGGAGAAATAAGGTTGGGAGGCTGTGAGACAGCTGGTGGAAAAATGCAGAATGGCAAGCTTAGGGGGACCAGAAACAGGTTCTCTGTCTTCAGAGGTACCATAGTTGGATGTCGATCGTTCTGGCTGAGATCAGCAAGCAAATGTCCTTCCAGCACCTCCCCCCCCCCCAGCAATCTTTTCAATCCTGGTTGCAAGTCACACTTGTGAGTCATTTTCCAAAAAGGAGAGCAAGAGGGCTTGCATTTGGCTGCAAAAACACGAAAGTCCCAGTTGGATTTCCAGCTCTTAAAACAAACTTTCAGCACCTCTGGAGAAGTTGGTGATACATTTTGCTAAGCAGATGAGTAAAGAGCGGTGATTCCAGTCGCTTGATTTCATCGTCTACTCAGAACTGTGTTTTTTTTTGCATGAGAGCTGTTGTAGTTTCTTTCCTTCTCTTTCTTTCCCCTTTGCTGAGCCGGATCATAATTGAAGTTGAAATTTGTGGAACGTTTATCAAGAAGCCCCAGTTACATTTTTCTGCATTGACCACCAACTTTCTCTTACCTACCAAACCCTTCCTTGCCTTCAGTCCTATTCCAGCCCCACATTATCTCCTTCCCTATTTGCCGTGGGTGATCTGTGACACTGAAGTGTCTGAGCTGAGAGATTATTTGAAGATATGTAATCTAGTGTACTCAATTGCACTCTTCCTTTGTTTAAGCCTCCCTTGAAACAAACAGGATCTCTTGCTGTGAACGGCTAGATCTAATAAATCCTGTTTATCCAGCGGTGTCCCCAGCTGGTATGTATTCTAGTCAAGTTCTCCTTTTTAAAATTTTATCCCAGATTGTAACCTCCTCATGAAGGTCAGCAGGCGCCACTGACACTTCAGCCTACTTTTGTACTCCGATTTTCCTAGATCACAACGGAATGTGACTTAGAATCACCGTCCTGATATGCTTTCTATTTATTATAGCAGCTGGGTTGCTGATGGCCTTGTTCTTCACAACCTGCCCAATTCGTGCCCTTCATCCCCTGGCTAGACAACCCATTCATCTCTCTGTGCCTCTCCTCATCTGCTTCTGCAGCGATTGCCTTATTTGTGTGGAGCTTGAGGTCAAATGGCTGATTCTCTCTTTGCAGAAAGGCTTCACGCCCCTGTATATGGCCGCACAAGAGAATCACCTGGAAGTTGTCAAGTTCCTCCTGGAGAATGGAGCCAACCAAAACGTGGCCACAGAAGTGAGTATCTTCCCCAAAGGTCACGTCGCCTGTCAGAATTCACTAACAGCAGTCAGGATCGGAAATGAACATTCAAGTCTTTCTGGATTCTGATTAGTAAGATTTATAGGACTCTCTTGAGTGCCTTTCAGATGCGAACGTTACATATAGACAATTCAAACCCACTCGCTTCTTGCTTCTTTCTCTCACCTGTTCAAAGAAGAGCAGAAGGAAGCTTTTGAGAAGGTGGGCTAACCTGGATCTTGTTTATCTATAGTCTGATTGTTAGCAGGGAGATCCATTCTAACATCATCCAGTGTTTCTCTGCTCAGTTCAGATGTGGGAATGGAATCAGGCAAGCCCAAGTTCAGGTGCCCCCTCTGGCTCAAAGGGTTGTGTTTGTGAGCATAAAAATAAAATAGCTCTTTGTAGCAACGGTGTGCAACTGTTTGCTTGGAGGCTCTAAGAGGTCATACAGCAATGGCATGAAGGAAATGTACTGGAGATTTTGGAAAGTGTCAGTACGCCTTCTCCTCGTTTAGTAACTGGGTTCCATTCCAATCACTTGGTCGTTAAGCGAAATGGTCGCTTAGTGAACACGTGACAGAGAGAGAGACGCTGCAAAGATTGCTGGTTGCTACTGTCTCATTCAGATAAAATTCTCCTGTACAATGTCCTGTGCCTGACCTGTTTTTTTTTTCCTTTTTTTGCCCCCTCGCAGGGCGGAGAGATTGCTTAAACAAGCTATCTCTTCCTGAGCTACTTTTCTCTGCAGTGCAGAGGGTCCCTAAAAAGTACTAAGGGTTCTGTTACCTTAGTTGATTAAAACCCTCCTGCTGCTTGCACTGCTGCCTGAAACTGACCAGACCTAATCAGTTTCACACTGCAGAGGTTGGCTGTCAGGCACACAAACTTTGCTCCTAAATGGCTGCATTGACTGGAAAATGAATTTTTTATTACTGTTTATTACTGTCGTAATTGTGAATGGTAGCTAGCCAAGGTAGTCGCTAAACGAGGAGTGGCTGTATGTTTATCCCCAGAGGCCTCCCTCTGAGATTTTCACCCTTATTTTCATGTTTTTGCCCTGAAAATCATGTCAGTGAAATATTGTATTTGAAAAAGAGGGTGGTCTTCTCCCTACCCCAGGATACCTATAGCTCTTTCTCCAGCGGAAACAAACACTTGCTATTTTGGTGAAGGATGAGGAAAACGAGCAATTCTTATCCTATTCTTATCCTTACATGACATACCTGAATTTTTGGTCTCCAAAATTATTGTGGTGATGTTGGGGTGCTTTGGGTGTTGTAAATAAGGTGCTGAAAGGCCCGTGTTGCTCCCGCTGCCTTCCAGGAGCGGCAAGAAATAGATGTTAAATCTGTGAGTATCTTGGAATGATCTACCCCTGCCAGTTTTCTTACCTTCTGTCGTCCTTTCTCTCAACCTTTGGCAGGATGGCTTCACCCCCTTGGCAGTGGCTCTACAGCAGGGCCATGAAAATGTGGTGGCCCACTTGATTAACTACGGGACAAAGGGGAAGGTGCGCCTTCCGGCGTTGCACATAGCCGCCCGCAACGATGACACGCGAACAGCTGCCGTGCTTTTGCAAAATGACCCCAATGCAGACGTCCTTTCCAAGGTCTGCTGTCCATGCTCAAGGAGATCCTGGGTCAGGGTGGTAAGGGGAGGATCCTGGTCCTCTAGGGTGCCTGGCTTTAATGCTTGAAATAGTTCACATTGTCAGTCAGTCAGTCTTTATTATGGTCTAGGACCAGGTATGTGATATTTCACAGAGGAATGAAGAAAGGAATTCTGTGGTCTTGCCTGGAGCCAAGAGGCTTAGCATAGCACAGAGGGAGGAAATCTCTGGTTTTTTGGAGGGTTCTGGAGGACCACTTTCATCAAGCCCAGACACCGTGATGCATCATCAAGGATGGGGCAACCTGTGCAGAATCACGGGTTCCCCACTCCGGATTGACGCAGCAGATGGAGTGTCAGAAACGGCCTTGAGAGATGGAGGAGTGTTCACCTCAGGCCAGAATGGCATGGGAAGATGTTTGAGGTAGTCACTGTCTTTCAGATGAATCTACTCTCAGGGTTGTTGTGAGGATAACTGGAGGAGGAGGAAGCTTATCAACACCACCTTAGCTCTTGGGAAGAAGGGTGTGATCAAAATAAAAAGCAGAAATGCCCTTCTCTTGAGTGAGACTCCTGGAGGCATGCAGTTTTCTTGGCATCAGTGTGAAAGTGATTGGCCACCACCTACTTTGGGGATTTATAAAAAATATCCGTAGTTTAGCCTATACCAGGGTTTCTCAACCTTGTCAACTTTAAGACGGGTGGACTTCAATTCCCAGAAGAAGCTGGCTGGGGAATTCTGGGAGTTGAAGTCCACCCGTCTTAAAGTTGTCAAGGCTGAGGAACCCTGGCCTATACAGTACAGTAGTCCTGTGTTTCTGGCAGGTTTTCCATTTCTCCCTTTCAAGTTGCAGCCAGAGTTAACCCTGCTTAGCTTCTGAGATCAGCTGAGATTGGTCAGCTGGTGCCATTAGCTGTTAAAGGCAATACAAAATGGAGCAAAACTTGGCTGCTGGTACCCCACCTCCCTTGCTAAAACAGTAGGGAGTTTGCACTTTGGGGTTTTTACTGCAGGGGGAAAGAAGACCCCCATTCTTAATCCCACCTCAAAAAGGGGACTCCCCTTGTGCTATCTGAGAAGGATTGTGAAGTTCTGCACAAGAGTTGGCTCACCTGCTGAATTGGACCATAAGCAGGAAAGTTGCCTATGAGCAAAGCGTAAGACCGGTGTGACAAAGGCACAACTTGCTAAGTTAGGCTCAAATGCGATTGGATCATTTGGGGTTCAGTTGTGAGAATCCACCCGTTGGTCTTAGCCTATTGTGTGAACAGACTCACATGAAATTTCATCACATGAAATCAGAATATGGATTACTGTGATGGTCAGAGCATGTTAAGCAAAACAGTTCTGTTTTGTTAGTCTGGGCTCAGGGTAAGTGTCTCATATAAATTCAGCCAAATTACACTGTAGCTTAAGGGAATATTGAAATAAGGCCTGGTGTTTTATAGTAAAATTTAGTTTAATGGATCACTTGGGGGAGAGGAGATCTGTTAAATCTGAATGCGCGTCTTTGGAGGTCGGTTTACATCATTCACGTAATTATGTCATTAACGTAAGTGGTATCATTTGCAGTAAAATCTTACTTTAATGGACAAAACCTTGATTTAATGGCCATTAGCCTGTTGAATGGGGAGGTGGTTCAAATGAAAAATGTGTTTGTTGTTTCCCAAGTCTGCTAAACAGATTAAACCAAGGGTTTACTATATTTCTGTTTTTTAGACTGTAGAGTTGAGAAACTGGGCAGTGGAAGGGAACAGCAGTATCCGTGGGTATGTTAAAATCTGCAAGATGGCAGACGCAGCATCATGATTCAAACCCTGCTCATGTTTCATTTGTCAAAGCACATGCATGTACAAAAGGGATGGGGCTTGGAACATGATGGTGCATCTGTCGCCTTGCATATGTTGACCTACCCTGATGGAAAAGAGGATTTCTCAGTGTGAGATTTGGTGTAGTGGATTTTCATTATAGTATGCCTCAAAACTGCACATGGGTCCTTTGTCTAAAATAGTCACTAATAAAGAAAAGCCCTTAGCATGTTATGCTCCAGTGTAGCAAGAGGTCCTTCTCCTGAGCTGGTTCAGCCTGTTGTGTGAATGGGATGACCGTGTGTCTGGCAAGAGGACAGTTTGGAAATCCTCCCTGGATTTCCTATTGAGTGGGGTGCCTGGAATGTTTGATTGTTCCCCCTCCATTCTTCTCCTGCAGACCGGCTTCACCCCTCTTCACATCGCAGCCCATTATGAGAATCTCAACGTGGCCCAGCTTCTGCTCAACCGGGGAGCAAGTGTCAATTTCACCCCCCAGGTAGGTGCAGAGCCCATGTGGATGCTGTAGAACAGGGTTCCTCAACCTTGGCAACTTTAAGACGGGTGGACTTCAACTCCCAGAATTCCCCAGTCCCCAGTTGAAGTCCACCCGTCTTAAAGTTGCCAAGGTTGAGGAACCCTACTGTAGAAGATGCTTGGGACCTTATGCTCACGTGGGGTGGGGAGAAGCCAAGCCCAGAGCAGGACACCAGGAGGAACTCTCTTCTGAAATAAAATAAATCCCTAAATTAAAAAAAGTAGTAAATAAGGCCCTATGGGCAGAGAAACAGCTTCCCCACTCTTTGGACTGCAAAGGCCATAGTGCACGTAAGACATCTGAATGAGCAAGGCTACTGTTTTCAGACCTTGTGTTGATTTTTGGAGATTTTGGTTTGGTCGGGTTGAAGCAGGAAAGGCTTAAGGCACCTGTTTGGCTCCTAAATGGGAAAAAATGGGCCTTATTTATTTGGAGGGGGCAAGCTGAGTGTTTTTTTAAAAAGTCAAAAGCCTCTGCAGGGACTAAGGTACCACTTGGGTTGCAGAAAAACCAGCATGCCACCCCAAACTCACTGTGGTCCTTGAAATGATGGGATCAGGGCTTTGCAGTCTCCTGGGCAGAAGGCCGCCTCATTTCTTCCCCGCTCTCTACCCATGTAGAATGGCATCACCCCATTGCACATTGCCTCCCGTCGCGGCAACATCATAATGGTGCGCCTGCTGCTTGACCGGGGAGCCCACATTGAGGTTCGCACCAAGGTAAGTCTGCCACCAGGTGGGTAGTGTGGAGGAGGATGGAGCCAGGGGAAGCTGCGAAGAAGCACAGCAGCACATCCCTTCACGAAGATGTCTGCAGGGGAGATTAAGAGGGACAATTGAGGAAGTCACATCTCCTGTTATGCTATTTGTATGTGCGTTGGGATGCTGTCCATTGGTACAAAAGGGGCAGAGCTTGTGTGGCAACTGTGTGATGCTGCTTTCGTTATGGGGGTTGAAGGCCTTGGATTCTGCAGCTGCTTCACGCCAAATCCAGGGATGGGTTGCTACCAAAACGGATGGTCTATTCACAAGAGGTCTCGAAGCGTCTCCTGAATCAGGAGCCTCCATCTTTTTAGAGACCTCTTGTGCATAATGCATTCCAAAGATTTTAGGGAAGACATTCACCAGGGTTGCTTATAGAAAGTGCTTTAAAGAAAGATCTTTAGGAGAAATTACTTGCCATGTGCTTTTCTCTCTGGCTTACAGTTTGAGATAGTGAAACCTTGATTTAATGCAGTGTTTTTCAACCTTGACTGCTTTACATTGGGTGGACTTCACCTCCCAGAATTCCCCAGCCAGCATGTTGAAGTCCACACATCTTGAAGTGGCCAAGGTTGAGAAACACTGATTTAACGGATCAGTTGTGGAGAGGGGAGATGTCTGTTGTTCCTGACTGTCCGTTAAATCAAAGCGTAGATCTCCTTCCTTACTTTATTATCTTGCTGGTACATGACCAAACATCAGTTTACAAACTCAGAAAATATACACTATACAAATAGCCAGACCATAGTTTACATTACATGGGACGAAGATGGCTTCTAAGAGTCAATGCCACGGGCGTATCTCGCCACCGTCTCAGAGATATTGACGGATTGATCGCTAAATAGCATGGCTATAACCTCAGTCCTACAAATAAGAATCAAATAATCAATGCTATTAGTTCCATATGCCCCTGAACATAAAGTGGGCAGTAAAGTAAAATAGGTAGGCAGATTTGACTTTGGGATCTGAACATAACCAAGTATAACATACATGAGGAAGATCAGCGTATATGCCTTTCGTCATCCTAATGTCGAATTGCGCCAATGGGAAAAGTTTCCTCTGTGGGGCATAGAAATATTATAAAAATATTTGGGGATGGTACAAAGCAGAGGGACAAATCTGCAGTAGCTAAGATGTATATCATAATAGTTTGCATAATAGGCTGCCGCAGGAGTTTAAACCATGGTGTGCAAAGTCTGCTGTGTCAAGTACCGTAAATCAAGGTTTCACTGTACAAACATATGACGCAATTAGCTATTACAATTCTATGGGAATTGCCTGATTTATTTTGCCAGCGATGGAACCTAGTCCAATGTAAAAGACGCCCTCTAGTTGGGTTTGACTCCTGGTGACTTCATGACAGATCCCTAGAGTTTTCTTGGCAACAACGGGGAAATAGCTTGCCATTGCCTTTTCTCTGGAATGTATTTTCTCCTTTCCAGTCTAGCCCGCACTTTGGGGTTTTCTTGAGGTCTTCCATCCGAGTAAAACTGACCCAGCTAAACTGTTTTGGGGTTTGGTCAAGGTTGGCGAGGTGTTTCCAACAGTGCTCAGCTGGTGTACTAATCACAGCGTTGCCCGGTATAAACCCTGCATAATATGTCTTTACTGTTTCCTACGCTCTGCACACATTTTAACGGGGCTATCATTTCTACAGGATGAGCTGACCCCATTGCACTGTGCTGCTAGGAATGGCCATGTGCGAATTGCTGAAATCTTGCTGGACCACGGAGCGCCCATCCAAGCAAAGACCAAGGTGAGGAGGCTGGAGAAACACTTATTTTTATTTATGTAATTTACTTCACTTTCTTACGGTCACAAGCCAGCACATCCGCCTAAAATCCATTATGATTTCTAGACTCAGCAGTAGCAAAGAGGCAATGAAAAATGATCGCTAGCAAGGTTAAAAATGTTTGAAAGTTTTAAAAGGGCTCAGCCCTGTCGGATAGTACGTGTTGCCGCCCTCTCTTAATTGCTAGGCAAAATGGGCCCATGTGCCTGTGATCTGCCAGAAGAAAAGAGGCCCACCTTTTCTCATCCCTCTAGGTTGCCATGGATAAAGCCCTTCGTGGCATAGGGCCTACCTATGATAGCTTCTGCTGGGCTGGTACGTGCTGGCAGAGTTGGATCCCTTTGATTAAGCAGTGTCATTCATTGGAATCCAGGAAGTGTGTCTTCTCTGGAATTCACCAAAGTATAAGAAGAGGGAAGAGGTCCAGCACGTTCAGACTTGCAAGATTCTGTTGTTATAGCCAATCTCAGTAAAAGGTAGTTTTAGCCTTCCTGTGGAGTTGATTTCCTGCTCTGGTCTACCGAGTGGGGCTGTGTCAGGTTCAGCCCAAAGAACTCCACGAGGCAGTACAGTTACGGTTCTACTGTGTTTATTAGCTTCCACCTACAAGACAGAATCTTGCCAGACTGAATCTAAACTCCCCAAGCCAGCAAGCAACACTGCGAATTCCTTAGGGTGGTGCCAGCCTCATCCTCTTCACCTTCCCACGCTCATTCTGGGGGCTAAGGAAATACTTATCTCCCCGAGCGCGGCCTTCGCCATACCATTCCATCACAGGAACGCCCACCTCAGACTCAAGTGACCAAGAGGTGCTAGGCGTTCCCATCTCATAGGGGTCACCTGGCTATGATCTTGACCAAACAGTTGGTGAAGCGCCTCAGATTGCTCCCACAACAAAACTGCTGCGACTTCTTGCCCGCTTAAAGGGAGCTTTATCAGAACAGCTGAGAATATCTTGAAGCTGCCTCAGGTATGGATTGGAGATGAGGGGAAGGCAACGTGATGAAGACATGTCAAAAAAAGAGGTTGCCAGGATAAGTTTATGCCATGGTTAGGTGCATGTGGGGGAAGGTCCTAATCCCAACTTGCAGAGGGAACATCATTGCCTCCAGCATGGTCTGACGCTGCTCCGCCACAGGGCTCCAGGTAACAGCATCCACCTGGCTGCCTGTTCCTTAAGTATCCCTAGTCAGGATAAGATTCTCATGCTCTCTTTCCTTGTTATAGAATGGCCTCTCCCCCATCCACATGGCCTCCCAAGGTGACCACTTGGACTGTGTGCGGCTTCTGCTGCAGTATAACGCTGACATTGATGACATCACATTGGATCACTTGACCCCACTGCATGTGGCTGCCCACTGTGGCCACCACCGGGTGGCCAAGATCCTGCTCGATAAGGGAGCCAAGCCTAATGCGCGGGCACTGGTGAGTTGAGGCCACTGAAATAAGGTGGAGCCAGGCGGTTACCTGCACTGCACAGCTGATTGGGTCTCCTTTTCCTGTCTCTGCAGAACGGCTTCACTCCATTGCACATTGCTTGTAAGAAGAACCACATCCGGGTGATGGAGCTTCTTCTGAAGATGGGGGCCTCCATTGAGGCCGTCACGGAGGTAACTTGGAGCATTGTGCATTCAGGACGGCACATTCGTGGTTGGACACGGGATGGAGTTTGCCATGGTTTCCCCATTGACATGGATGGATGTGGGCAAATATAAGCAAGGTTTAATGAAGTGATAGAAGAGTTTTAAAGAAAAGACAGTTCAGATTAAGATGGTAGAACTATTATTGTCCCATTATGCCAAGAGTAGCATCTCAGCCATGTAAGTAATCCTACCAAATGTGGATTTCCCTCCACATGTGCTATTGAATACATTCTTGTCCACTGCCCAGCTGTGGCGGATTGCAGCAGAGGGCAAGGCTATCAGGAAGGAGGGGGTGCATTCCAGGAAGGGCAAGGAGACAAAAGACAACACAGTCCGGAGATAGAGCGTGGGAAACGAAAGATAGCCAACTCCCTAGAATCTCCCAGGGTATACCCACTAGTTGCAATAGTATAGATGTAGTCTGGCAAGATTCTGTCTATAAGGTGTAAGCAAATAAAGAAACTGAACTCAATTAGACTGTTTCCACCATTGTTCTTGGGCTGGGCCAACCAGTGGTGCCATGTTGTAAGCAGCAAAATTTTCCACTTCTCTACCATCTTTCTGCTACACTTCGTTTCTTCAATGGAGGGACTGCATGTCTGTCTGACCTCTGTCTCTCAGTTCCCATGTGATGCAGTGAAAGAGAGCTCCCAAACCTTTGCAATCTGCAGTTGGTGAGGACAAAGTGAAGGAAAACCAGGTTACATTTCTGGCGCTTGAACATCGAATGGGTTGTAAGGTGGCTTATGGAGCTTCTCCAGAAGACAAATTTCCCAGAAGGCATTTCAAAGATATCTAAATTTAATGACCTGAAAAGAAGTAGAGCCCTTTTTCCACAAAGCACTTGGGCCATCTTCTAGTTGATGGCTAAATTGGGTTGAGGCAAAGAGACTACCCCAAGGTCACCCAGTGGGTTTCCATAGCTGAAGGTGGACTTGAACCTGGATCTCCCAGCTCCTAGAACAGCACTTTTACCACTGTGCCACATTGCCTATATTCAGGGCTGAGCCTAACTAACTTGGCTAGCTTCAGGCAGACCAAATATTAGAGCTTGTTGGCCGTGCTCAATGGCAGTGGAAGGGGAAGAGTAGAAGCTTCACTAGGATCGAAATGCCTGTCTAAAGCAGCTTTCCCAAAATAATACTCTCTAGAGCAGCGTTTCTCAACCTTGACCACTTTAAGATGTGTGGACTTCCACTCCCAGAATTCCCCAGCCAGCCATGCTGGCTGGGGAATTCTGGGAGTGGAAGTCCACACATCTTCAAGTCGCCAAGGTTGAGGAACCCTGCGTTACAGCATTTTCAGTTGCTTCATTATCTGAACTTTAATTTAAAAATTTAATTATGAATCCCTTGCCTCCTGGATTGTAAAAATTATTATGGGGGGCTTTGTATAGGACAGAAAAATATCAGAGGGACAAACTGGATCAGGCCAAGGGTCTATCTCAACTTTGAGCATTTGATACCTTCCAGATGTTGGATACCAATTCTTCTGGTCCCCAGTTGCAAAGTCCGTGGTAATTGAGAATTTTGGAAGCTGAACTCCACCAAATCTGTTAGGGGAAACTCGTATATTAATTCAGGATACAAATAGGACCAGGAATTCCACAAGGAAAGCTAAAAGTCAATAGCTGTTTCCATTGTGGTGGTGTTAATATTCAGAGACAGAACCAGTGAGGTGTGATGGTTAAGCTGTAGGACTAGTTGCTGGAAGAAGCATGGAAGCCCCCAGAATGACTTTGGGACAATCTCTCTCAGCCAAGCCTACCTCACAGGGTTGTTGTGGAGTAAAATTGGAAGAAAGCATGCCAGGTTTTGCCACTTGGAGTTCTTTAAAAAAAAGTTAGGACACAAATCAAGCGAAAAGCAAGTTTACCCTGAACAAGAGTATTCTGCTTAAACATCCAGGTTAATAGCATCAGAAGACCTTTCAGCTTTCGTGAATGGTTAACGGTGCATTCAGATATCTTAAATTTGTTCTAAATCAGAATTACCCATTCTGGGAGCCATTTCTGACCCGATCTCCCGATCAGTACTTTGTATGACGTTGAAGGAAAAATGAGGCGGCATATAAAGAATCTTACAACCGAAATCTTTGAGGTTTTCTTGGCTGGTTTCCTTTCAGTTCCTTTGGAAGGCATTGGAAAGGCATCCCTTTCCTAACTACAGCATGCAGAAAAATGGGCATACAAATACCGAATTAGAATTCATGTATTTATGCATTCATTTTCTCTCTTTTTCTCTGCAATCGACAGTCGGGCCTCACGCCTCTTCACGTGGCCTCCTTCATGGGAAACCTTTCCGTTGTCAAGATCCTGCTCCAACGTGGAGCCTCCCCCAACGTTTCCAATGTGGTGAGCCAAGAGTAAAAAAAATCTCCAGAAGTGTTGAGACCACGGAGGAAATTAGGAGCGTCTAAGCAAGATTTGTTTTAGCGCAGAAATGTTTTAGCAATGGTTCCCCCCTTCGCCCACTATCTCTGAATCTCTCCAAGAAGTAGTTTTTGGAACTGCTCAATCTTCCTGTTGGAAAAGGCACCCTTAGGGTTAGGATGCAAAGATCCAGCAAGGGGATTGTCTGCTTTTTTCTGCCTAACATTTTCATCTCAGAAAGCTGCACAGCCTGCTTAGGACCTGGATGGGAGACCACCAGGGAATGTCAGAGTTGGGGATTAGGCTGGGAAATCAAAAAAACATTCCAGAAGAAAGCAATGGCAAATTATCGCTGTATTTTTGGCAAGAAACTGCATGGAGGTGGTTGTGAAGTTCCCTAAGGGTCAATTTGAGGGAAATGTTACTTTTTTACCGGAACCCAGCAGATAGATAAAAGTTAGATTAGAAAGGGAAGAAAGTGGAAGGAATGTATAACTCCTTCAATATCTAAGCTTAATTATTTGCTGGGTACCAATGTCCCTGGTCTAGAGCGTTTCAAATGGTGGTGTCTTTGGTCTCACACAAAGTATTCAGAGTAATGAATATCAGTGGTGGTGCTGCATTCAAGCAACACACTTCACTGCCCGGTTGTTTAAAAACTTTAGCAGTTGTGTTTTCACAACAAGCTGAGTTTGGTTACAGTTAACCTTCGTTCGGCTTCTTGTGGCTTGGCGTGTCATATAAATCCAGCCCGTTTGATTAGTTTACCTGTCAAAATATTGTGTCATCCAGAAAATGGGTTAATTCAAGATAAGTGGGTTGTATGATAACAACTGGGAATATAGTTCTAATCTAACTTTTATCTATCTGCTGGGTTCCTGTAAAAAAGTAACATTTCCCTCAAATTGACCCTTGGGGAACTTCCCAACTACATCCGTATAGTTTCTTGCCAAAAATACAGTGGCAATTTGCCATTGCTTTCTTCTGGAATGTTTTTTTGATTTCCCAGTCTAATCCCCAACTCTGAAATTCCCTGGTGGTCTCCCATCCAGGCCCTAAGCAGGTCGGACCCTGTGCAGCTTCCTGAGATGAAAATGTTAGGCAGAAAAAAGCAGACAATCCCCTTGCGGGATCTTTGCAACTTTGAATTCTGATGGAGGCTGATGGGAATTTTTCTCAGCTACAGATGTTCTCTGGAACGGCTTTTTCTTCTTCTTTTCTTTGCGCAGAAAGTAGAGACGCCCCTCCACATGGCAGCTCGAGCCGGGCATAGTGAGGTAGCTAAATATCTGCTCCAGAACAAAGCCAAGGTCAATGCCACAGCTAAGGTGGGTACCTGTCTGTCTTTGAGGTCAGTAAGTCACAGCCTCAACACCAGTGAATGGATGGCTTCGTCCTTCTCGGTGTGGCAACGTCGCCCAATTCAGGCCTGCGGGAAACCAAGTGGAATTGGTATTCTCGTTAAGTCTTTGTTTTAACTTTTAATTAAACGACAAAAGCCAAGCTTCCAACTTTTGTCTTTGCTGGAAGGGGGAAAAAAAGGGAGAGCAGAAACTTGTGGGTTTTGGTGGGAGGCAACTCCAGTGTTATGAGATAGATTAGGTAACAGTCATACGTAAAACCTGACTTCCTCTCCCTAATTTATGTTATTGGCTATATTAGGAGTTTTAACCTGAAGGGCGATTTCAAGCTCGCCTGTTCGAACTCCTGTTCTGTGCAAGGGCAGAAACTCACAGCATTGAATTAGGCATTCTGAAAAATTAACCTTCCCTTATTAAAAGGAGGGGGGGGAAGGTCTGCATTATGATTCTGATCCTTAAGGCTATGCAGATTGGCGTAAGAGCCCGTGAAAATGGTGCTAGGCATTCCAGGCTGCAGTCATACAGTGAGGCGCACTGATCTGTGTGGCAGGCTGATGCAGGGTAAATGTGCAGAGAGTATGGATCCATAAAATGTGCAGTCTGCTGAGTTGAGGAGCTGAGTACACACAGCATACTAGGCGCAGTTAACCAAGTGCCGTTGCTGCATTCATAAAATAAGTAACCTTACGGAATAATGCAATGGCCTGATTTGCACGACATACTCAGATAAAGTTATTGCTGTGTTCCTGGAACCTGCTGGATCAAAACCAACCCAGTCCCTAGCCTGGCGCATTGCATAAACCCAGCCAGCTTATCACCGTTTGGCGCGTGGGTTCTCTTGGGCAGAATCTCGACCTTCATTGTGCAAGACAGGCCCACAGCCTCCTTTGGGGCAGTGTGGAAAAAATAGGCCTTTTCAGGCAGTGCCGCGCAACGAGCTGGGACAAGAGATGCGTGTCTTTCCCATTTCAGGATGATCAGACGCCCTTGCACTGCGCCAGCCGCCTTGGGCACTGTGCCATGGTGAAGCTGCTCCTGGAGAGTGGTGCTGACCCTGACCTCTCCACAACCGCCGGACACACGCCACTGCACATCACAGCCCGCGAGGGGCACCTGGACTGTGTTTGTGCCCTCCTGGACAAAGAGGCATCCCAGACTGCCATGACCAAGGTTGAGAAAGAAGGCTTTGTTGCCCCTTCCCTTCCCTTCCCTTCCCTTCCCT